GGGGCTTCTGAGGAGGCAGCCTGGGAGGTCACTGTCACACTGGGGCTCTCCTAAAGCAAAGCCGGTGAGAGGAATGGAGCCCTGGTGCCCCAGATAAAGGCAGGGCTGCGACAGATCAGCTGAGGAGGGACAGCTGCACAGGGCCCGTCAGGGGCAGGTAAGTCAGGAGCAAAGAAGGGGGGTGGGAGCCCAGAGAAGCAACACCAACCTGGGGCCTTCCATCCCTGCTGTGTCAGGCAGGAAGGGGCTGGGTCCACCCTCAGACTAATCTGGGAGGACCCTCACAGATAAGGGGCTTTTTCAAGGCCGAGGGCAGCCTTGTGAGAGAGAACTGGTGCTGGAGAGCCCAAAGCCCAAGGCAGGATAGAACAAGCCTGCCCCCGAGTCTGGCACTCGGCTGCAGGAAGCAGGTCCCACTGCTGGCTTTCCTCTCTGCCCTTGTCCTGCCCCAGCCCTCGGTCCTCTCCTTCTCTGACACCTCATCCGCAGGGTCTGCTCCTGCCTCTGGTCTGTGGGCACCGCCAGGGCCTTTGTCCCACCACTACCACCCCCCTCCCCGCCTCCAGCGGCCCCTCTGCCTCCCATCCCATGGGGGTGGCCATGGGTCTTTCTAAAGTGCTTTGTTTAGGCTTCGTTACAGACTTTCCATTCAAGGATGACTGAGACAATTGTTGGAGTCAGCTATAAAAGCTTATTCATACATTTTATTCTAAAGACTTGCACAATTTGGCCAAGAATCCTCTCGTGTCTGTAACCACCCTGAGCAAGAGTTCATCTGCCGGATGCTCAGGAAACCAATGAGACACTGACACTGGGCTTCTGCAGGGAAGAGAGGCTCGCTTAAGAGTGTGGCGCCACCCAGGACAACAGGGGGCGCATGTGCCAGAGTCCTGAACTCCCCTAGGGTCTGCAAGTGCTTACGGGCAAAAATTAAGCATCAGGGGTCCAGGGCCGTGGGTTCTTCTGATTGATCAGGGGTTAGGTAAACGTCAAGACTGATTAGCTTGGCTTTCTGGCACCCACCGGTCTGGTTTCATCCAGATTGCGGTCCAGGTCTGAGGACCATCTCGGCAACGTGCATCAGCGACGCTGTCTTTGTTGGCAGAAGCAGCCCAACGCCTCCTGACCGTGACGACCTTGCAGGCTATTTCACTGTTGTTCCCTGGGTAGCATTCATCATCTTAAGCAAAGCACAGTCTTACGTTTCCTCTCGGTGTTTGTCCCGTATCTCTAACCGTGGGCGTCGCGCCTTTCTGCAGACTTCATTCTGTGGATGGTTTCGCTTCTGTTCTGTGGACGCAACACTCATTTGCAAGACAAGAAGATAAACTGTTTCCCATGAACTCGCTACCAGCTGTGAAAAACTAAATTAGTCCTGAAATGTTTCTTACAAGTTGTTTCTATCATCCCTGAATTTTAGCCGTTCAAGGTCAAGCTTCAACATTTATGCTGTTACCATAGCACACTCGTCCAAAACTTGAAGTGTTTCTGCCTTGAGCGTCTGGGTTTGCCAGGGACTGGGGGAGTTTCCCAGAACGTGGGAACTTCAGTGCTAAAATCAGGAAGCGAAGCCCCGGGCCAGTCAGCTGTCCTAAGTGTGCTATGAATGGGGGTTTTCAACCCAATCCTCATGGTGAGGGCAGCTGGGGTCTCTACCTGAGAGTACCAAGCTTCCGGTGAGGTCGCTGAGGGGTGATCCAAAGCCATGGCTTCTTCAATGACAGTCATCCAAATCCACCTGAAGCTTTACGAATGCCCATAAGAGACATCAGAGATGGGTTTCCATTGATGAAATTGGTGGCTCTGTTCATCAGCAGATCAGAGGACAGAGATGGCTTGGTTGGTGGAATCGGTGGTCTTTCAAAGAGTTGGCCGGAAATCTGGGGAAGGCATTTCTGGCCTTGCAAGGAACACGGAACGGACCCCATAGTCTGTGCCCTGAGCAAGGACACCCGCGGCTTGATTCCTGTGTCCAGTTCCAAGTGTCTGTGGTCACCTGAGCCAGACTCCGTGGTCACCCAGGTCGCGTTGCCTTTGGCTGGAGTGTCCGGAAGGAAAGCGGCTGGGGCTCCATCAAGCTCCCCCAGTTTCTTCAGACCGTTCGGTGTCTGCTTGGTCAGTAACGTCCACACGCAGTGGGGCTCCGCCAGACGGAGATTCGCGCCCCTGTCCCGGGCAGGCAGACAGGCAGGCAGGCTCCCGGGTCTGTCCACCTGCCTCTATCTGTGCAGAGCCAACAGCATTTATCAAAAAGAATCCGTGCACGTACGCCCACATGAGCCACGTCACTTTGCGCTGTGACATTAAATGAAAACGCAAAAAGCAAGATACGGGACGGAAACGTCTATAGAGTGTAATCACCGCTGGGGGGAGGAAAAGCTGTGTGAGTCCTGTGGCCAAAGTCGCCATCACAGCTCTCCCTCGGTGACAGCAGGTTTTCCTGTGCACCAGCCTCTCTGGGCTCTGTACTGACAAAGCTGTGATTCCCACGCCTAGGCAAAGAGCACGGAGTTATAAGTGCCAGTGCACCCCCTCCCGCCCCAGAGAGAAGGGATCTGCACTGGACGTGTCAGGGTTGAGACGCCTGCGGGGCCTGAGCAGAGGGGTCTGGGGCACAGGACAAGATGGGTGAGCCAAAGAAGCACACGTGACGCTGGTTCTCGGGGCGGGGTCCCCAACCCAGCTCAAGGCGTCCTGCCTGCTAAGGCCTCCAGGGTGGGTGACGATGGGCGCTCCACCAGACTGGAGGTGGGGCCGTGTGTCGCCGGGGTGTGTGTGTGGGGGGGAGGGCGGCGGGCACTCACTTCACCCTCTTCCTTTTCTCTCCCCAGTCCCGGCCAACAAAGAAAAAGAGACTGGCCCTTCCCTCCCCGCCCAGGGGCCCAAGTAGACCCAAGGAGTTGGGTTCAGGAGGTGACAGAGCCTGGGATAAACACCAGAAGACACTCTCTGCACCTTTTGGTTTCCTTCCTCTTGCCCAGACCCGCAATGAATCCACTACAGGAAGACATATTCTGCCGTCAGTTTGGCAACCAGCACCGGGTCCCAAAGCCCTACTACCGGAGGAAAACCTACTTGTGCTACCAGCTGAAGCTGCCCGAAGGCACCCTAATTGACAAAGACTGCCTTCGAAACAAGGTGCCGAGCGGGCTGTCTGGACACAGGGCAGGCTTAGCCGGGTCTCCGCTAGCCCCGCTCCCCAGGAACTCTCCACAGTTTTCCTGTCCCCGGGCCTCTGCAGAAGCTGTTCCCTCCAGCAGAATGCTCTCCCTGCCCCTCTTTGAGAATTTAATATTTACTTGTCTTCTGGATCTCAGCTCAGTCGCCGTTTCTGAGAAGCCAAGAGGTCCTCCAAGGACGGAGCACTCGACCCCACCTGCGAGAACCCCCTCGTATCCCTGCCCTCTGCTTTGCTGCCCGCCTTCCCGCCTGCCCTGTCCCGCCTCCCTCCCATTCTGACCCATTCCTCGCTCCTCTGGACTCCCCCCCCTCCCCCCCCCCCCGCATTCAAACATCTCCAGATGTCCAAAAGGCGAGGTCTGCAGAGCATTTGAGACCGTGTTGTAGGGGTGTCTGTGGCCGAGGGGGGGTGCTGCTGGGTCTGATTCAGATCAAGCCGCGGGTGCTTTGGGGGTACTCAATTAATGGGTAAGAGAAGGAGGGAAGGAAGGAAGGAAGGAAGGAAGGAAGGAAGGAAGGAAGGTTCTTTCCCTGTCCCAGGTGAGTTCACAGAGCAGAGCCTGTCATCCCCAATGGCACCCACAGCGTGTGACCTCTGGCCTCTGCCTTGTAACCAACCCTTCTCTCTGTCTGGGACACTCCCTAGAAAAAGCGCCATGCAGAAATGTGCTTTATTGACAAGATCAAGTCACTGACGCGGGACACATCCCAGAGATTCGAAATCATCTGCTATATCACATGGAGCCCCTGCCCCTTCTGTGCCAAGGAACTGGTTGCGTTTGTCAAAGACAACCCCCACCTCAGCCTGCGGATCTTTGCCTCCCGCCTGTACGTCCACTGGCGCTGGAAGTATCAGCAGGGGCTGAGACACCTGCATGCATCCGGGATCCCAGTGGCTGTCATGAGCCTCCCAGGTGGGGAGAGGGCACAGCTGTCAGGGGATGGGAGGGTTTGCGGTTCCAAGAGGGAAAAGCCACTGCGGGGGGGTGGGTGGGGAGGCTGGACCGAAGCGGGGTGCCCCAGCTGAGGCCCAAGATGTGATGCCGCCCGGAAGGGAAAAGGAAGAGGAGCCCCTGGCTCTGCAGGCTGCAGGCAGGCTGCTCCCCTGTCCTGGGACCTCACTGCCTTCTCCTCCTCCATCTCAGAGTTTGAGGACTGCTGGAGGAATTTTGTGGACCACAAGGACAGGTCGTTCCAGCCCTGGCACAACCTGGACCAATACAGTAAAAGCATAAAACGTAGGCTCGGGAAGATCCTGATGGTGAGAAGCTGTCCCTGCTGCAGGCACCTGGCCTCCCTCCCCCTGGGACTCCCCTTCCCAGCTCACCGCCCCCTTCTCTCTGTCCTTGCTCTCTGTCCTCAGTGCCCCTCCACACCTTTCTCTTTTCTTGAGACACCCTTCCCCCCAGTAGGGGCTCCCAGGCTCCCACTTCCTTCCTTAGCTCCCTTTTCTTAGGATCTTGGGGCACCTGGGTGGCTCAGTTGGTTAAACGTCCGACTTTTGATTTGGGCTCAGGTCACGATCTCAGTTTGTGAGTTCCAGTCCCGCGTCC